CAACAACAACAAAAATTAATTTGGGGTCAGTTTAAACCAGCTTTTTGGTTCAACGTCTCACTGCAGATGAGGAACTGAACAATCAATAATTCACACACTCTATTTGCCTCCCGGCTTCCTAAGGACACGACAGGCCCTAGCTTGCATTCTTGCCCACCCGATGCTCCTATGAGTTTCAGCAGGTGCACAAAAGAGATGGAATCAGGATTTTAAAGTGCTGTGGGAGGATCACCACTTTACCCCTTTAAGGTTGCTTCAGTGTCTTCACACTCTGCTCTTGGAAAGGTGCTACTCCATGCTCCTGAGTCCCTGGAACTGAGGGTATATAAGTAACTGTCCCCTAGCCATTCCTCGGGTCATCTTTGTGCATTTGTCTTGGACAGTGTTTCTTAAACTTTCTGAGCCCATGGAACACCAAACAATAATATTTTTTTCTGCAGAGCATCTATGAAAATTTTCTTCCAAAACAATTGTGGTCAGACAAAAAAAGACAAAAACAAAGAAGTAACACACAAAAAAAGAAGAGGTCGCGGCACACCTGTGAGTTGTTCATGGAACACCAGTGTTCGGCGGAACATAGTTTAAGGAACACTGGTCGAGGAGCCAAGGCCAAACCCCATTGAATACAATAGTCATGGGTCCACTTCTTTCATTAGTCCTTCATAGGCAATGATCATGAGGCAGGTGGGGAGTTGCTCCAGCCCCACTGGTTAACCTGAACCAGTTAACCCGTTAAACAAGAGCTACTAAACTTTGGAAGCCCCTGGGGCCACAATGATACTCATAGCACATGCCGAGGGCCGCAACTTAAGTGTGATTGAATATACATGCAAATATATGCAAATCGCTTCTTTCACATTGACAGGCATGAATACAAAGATTAAGCCTTAAGCCACAGCGCCGGACCCAATAGTGGCCAGTGAGATCCAGTCAGCACCTTTCAGGCTCTGCTCACAAGGCTAAGCAGCCAGCACTTCCCACAATGCCCCGGGGCTCCCGGCAGCTCCTCCCTCGGGGCTAGAAATGTCAACACCCTGTACCCATCTGTTCCAGCCAGCCTGTCCGCTTGCATCGTTCAATGCTCACCTTGCCTGGGAGATACCTCGCCATTGTGGTTCATGTTTCCAGTGGAGGCCATGTTCAAAGGATCCCACTCACGGGCCACGTGTTGAAGCCCACGTAAACCATGTAAAACCACGTAAACCACGTAAACCGCACCACAGGCCCCAAACAAACGGGCTGCAGGCCGCATGCAGCCCATGGGCCCTGTGTTGAGTAGCCCTGCGTTAAACCTTCAGATCTCTAGTTAGGCCCCCAGAAGTAAGAGAGTTCTTTATGTAGTTCTTTTTAGTTTATGCCAGTGCCATAAGGGTAGATTCGTAGTGGTGACATATCGCTTAGATTCCATTTGATTCTACAAACACTAATGTCCAACCCATTGTGATGCTGGCTTTTGCATTCTCACTATTGTCTGCTAATATGCATTGAAGGGGCTCGCTTAACTTTGCCAGCCTGAGGAGAAACAAGGCCTTCAAGTGAGTCAATCATCTCGAATTTCTTATGAACAAGGCAAATGAAATCTTGAGCACGCTCATCCCACATGCAGGAAACTACGGAGTGATTTTTCAGCTGCAAATAAGCTATGTTAGAAGTGGAGAGGGGAAAGCTGGTCTTCTGAAAGGCCTGCACACCCTGAGTGATTGCTGAACCTCTTGCAAACCTAACCTGTATGGTTAGGACAGTAAAACAGCATGTACTAGAAAGAAGAGACAGAAAGAGGAGAATGACTGTGTGCCATGTGACTAAGAAGATGGTTTATTAGGTGATGAGCTTTCGTGGGTCAGACCCATATGGTTGTGCTGATTTTCTTCCACATATTGATCTGAGGAAGTGGGTCTGGCCTACGAAAGCTCATCACCTAATAAACCATCTTCTTAGTCTTTAAAGTGCTACATAGTTCTGTCTTTTGTTTCAGCTAGACCAGACTAACACGCTGCATCTCTATCACTGTACCATGTGTGTGATTGTGAAACCCTTACTGTTACCGAGCAATCCCCCTACTCCTCAAGCAGTCTCACTGATTTTAAAGGATCTACACTGTGAGTGTATCAAACACTAACCTCATGTGAGCCAGACACACAATTTACTGACCCTATGGGAAGAATGTGTAGACGAACCAGATTTTCTAATGGAAGGAAAGCTGGCTGCAATTCACAAAATAAAGCAACTTGGCTTTGAGCAGAAGGAGAGAATGTTTTCCAGATGCTAAATCTGAACAAAGCCCCATCCTTTTTACCTGCTTGGCCTTTCTCCTGTGGGGCTAGATGAGGAGAGCAAGGGCTACAGACCTGAACATCCAACTACTGGTGGGTAGAGAAAGAAGAGGAGTGAGAAGAGCTCTGGTTTGATCTTCCCTGCTTGGTAGCCAATGTGGCTAGTCAAACATGATGGGGTAGGGACGGAGAGTAAACTGTCATTTTCCATCTAGATTTAGCTGTTTTTATAAAACTTCTTTTAGTTGTCAGCTGGAAATCTGAGTTGAAATGGAAACATTAATACACACTGTAAAAGTATATACCTAAAAAAGTATGTACCTAAAAAAGCATAATAGGTGTGAAAAATATGAACAAAGACTTGCATACATGACAGATGAAAGCTGCGATGCGATGCAAATGGGCATTGAGTATTAAGTCATTGTGTATGTTATTTTGATGTCAGTGGTAGGCCAACTGTTGCATTTCCAGATGTTCAGGTTATAGAAGACACATTGGCTGCATCCGCGAAAACCCCCCTTTTAGAAAAGTCAATTGCTTTTTACTTGGGCTCCAAAGTGGCTGCTTGTACATTTGATGGAACTACAGACTTCACTGGAGGACATGGTGGAGTAAAAGCTTTGCTCAGAGAAAGTGTAACCCTAATCTCTCTTATACACACTGCAGAGGCCATCTACTCCTACTAGCACAAGTTGCAGAATCTTCAAAAGACATAAACAAAGCCATACATCTAATGCCTTCATAATACAATTTTTTAAAAAAAGATTTCAAAAAGACAGAATGGCTTGGAGAAAATAGAAAGTGCTCTGGGACTGAAGTTCAGATTAGTCCAACCTGGGAAAACTCGCTGGCTGTGTCTAGACAGGCAAGTTTTTCCACAAAAGCAATTGCTTTTGCGGAAAAACTTGCCAGTTGTTTACACTGGCTGCTTGAATTTCCACAAGAACACTGACTTCCTACTGTAAGAAATCAGTGCTTCTTGTGGAAATACTATGCTGCTCCTGTTCGGGCAAGAGGGCCAGTGTAGACAGCACAGTACTGTTTTGCGCAAAAAAGCCCCGATGGCTAAAATGGCGATCGGGGCTTTTTTGCACAAAAGCGCATCTAGATTGGCACGGATGCTTTTCCGCAAAAAGTGCTTTTCCGGAAAAGCGTCCATGCCAATCTAGACGCTCTTTTCCGCAAATGCTTTTAACGGAAAACTTTTCCGTTAAAAGCATTTGCGGAAAATCATGCCAGTCTGGACGTAGCCGCTGGCTTTCTCATGAGCGATCTATGGCTGTTATCTCTAAATTACTGCAACCCTTCTTACTGGCTTTGGAAAGTAGTGAGACTGATGGACTACTACATTCGGAGACCATCGCTATTCTCCCTCTTGTGAGTCTACTGTTGAAACCACTTGAGTCATTAAACAATGCCATCCAGGCAACTGTTACATCAGTAGTTGCCAGCAACATTTGGATCAGTCCATGAGCTAGTAATTGAAAATGTACTGAAGCAAAGACTTCAGTCCAGAAGTTGACTAATGAAGGCACTTATATTGAACCTTTAAGTGAAGGGGACAAGAAGTGTTTGTTATGTCAGCTGAACACATTAGATCCATACAAATCTACAACTTCCGGAATCTACTCAACCACAACATGGTTTCTAAAGATGCCTGTCTTATAAAAGATCAACTGGGGAGTGCAGTGAGACACTTAACAGTGATCAGGACAGAATGGAGAATTTGAATACAGAATGGAATGTCACATGGCGAATGAATGAAGATTTGACTTTTCCTTTTTATCATCACTAGTGACTTGATTCGATCTTGGTGCTATGTTTCTTGAAGTGAAAAGAAGTAGAAAATCACCACTTGCTGCTCCCAGTCACAACAGCTACACTGAGCATTCTTTTTTGTCACAGAATAGAATTTTATGTTCTGAAAGAAGTCACCTTCTGCCTGATGAATGACTGAATGAATGAACATATCAATGGAAGGACCGGACGTACTGGACACATGAGAAGCCATCAAAGATGAGTATTTGAGAAGCCCATTAACAAAATAATGCAAAATAGCAGCAAGAGACCAAGAAGGATGTAGATTTAATGCTCCTTCAAAGTCTTGAGTAGCTAACTTTAATCAGTGTGATGATGTTTTAAACCAGAGTTAAATCTAAGAAAATGGCCATGAAACACTTTTCAGTGTTTACTATTGTGCCATACAGCCCACCTACATCCTTGTGGTCTCACCCGTGAACTCTCCATTTTCCCCTCCTCCCCCTCCCCTGTAAATTTGAGAACCTTGTCTAATGTCAGTTCCTGGGGAAAATGCTGCCAGGAGCAGTTTCCTGTATGGAGGACGATCAATGGGGTAGCAGCTCCATATGTGCTAATTTAGCACATTTCAGGAGCACTACATTTATTTACATCCAAAAGCACTGAGGGTCTGAGACTTTTTCCATTGCTTTCAATACATTTTTCATCAGACCCTTCATGACTTCCTATATTAACAGAAAGAAATGGCATCTCTTAACTGTCAAACTGAGTAGCAAGCTACATGTGCAAGCTTTCCTCAGCTAGTAGCAGCTGATTGTGCAGTGCTAACTTGTTGCTAACTTTTGCATTTAGTTCTCTGGGTGCACTTCCGCTTAATGTGTTGGTTAATCTTGACATTAGAGATAGGTGATAAATTGTACCAGCAATGAACACGCATTTGTAAGTAGAATATGCTAATTATTTATTTTTCAAAGCAAATGACATTTTCTATGATGTTACAGATTTTAACAAAATATATGTGAGCTTAAAATACTTCACCGTTTTCATTGTTTTCATTGGTATAGAGCTAAGCGTTCATAATTAATTTTAGGCTTCCTAGCTTTCCATACCCTCCTGACTCCATTCAAACCTATTCCAATGCTCATTTCTCATTCCTAGCCTAAGACTCTTAGTTCTGCTGCTCACAAAACAATAAACAACTGTTTCACACTCTTAAAGCTATTGCGTTCTTTATCCCTGCATTACTGTATCCATCAGTGCTACTATAGGATAAACTCTACTTGTAACTAACCTGGAAGCATTTTGTGGTACTTTCATATGAACCCGTCAATAAAAAAATAAAAAGCAGTAGATGTAACAGGCAAGGAATACGGCAGCATGAGGGTTTATCCTGATAAGTGGAAAAATGCTATGTCCCTGAATCCAACACGTTAATTATTTTACATTCAATGCCAGATGCATTTTGGTATTCAGAACTTACAGGCCTGTATTAGAAGTTGATCCAAAGCTCATTCCCATCAATGGAAGTCTGTCCATTGACTTCAATGGGCTTTAGATCAGGGGTTTTCAAACTTTTTTTTCTCATGACGCAGTTGAAGAAAATTGTTGATGCTCACGACCCAAGATAATTTGACTAGACTAGAGTGTGGGCTCTCGGGTAGAGCAGAGAATGAGAGCTTTGGGATCTAGAAGGGGGCTCCAACTTTGGGGGGGGGGGTGTCAGGGATGAGACAGGCGGGGCTTACCTTGAGTGGCTCATGGTCAGCGGTGCAGCGGGGAAGCTAAGGCCACTTCCTGTTCTCCTGGCACCACATACCATGCTGAGCAGGTTCCCAGGCAATGGAAGTATGGAGCTAGTGCTCAGGACAGGAGCAGTGCACAGAGCCCTGTGCACTCTGCACTCCCCCCGTACACCTAAGAGCCGGGCCTGCTGCTGACCTCTTCTAGGGCACAGCGCTGTCCGCGGTGCTAGGACAGGCAGGAAGCCGCCTTAGCGCCCCCACTGGTCACCCTGTAGCAATGAGACCCAGAGCCTGACATTCCACCACCCTGTACTGGGTTGCACCCCATAGTTTGAAAACCGCTGCTTCAGATCACACTGTACATTATTTGCTTACAAAAGTGATCCAACTTGATTGACAGAACAGAAACAGGCATCAGTATTCTCTCCGTGGGACTATGTGAGTTTTACTTTACTCAGTGCATAGGACATAACCAAATCCATCACCATAGTTGGGAAAGCTGTGCATATGAAAACTAACAGCTTCTCCTTCAGCTTCGCCACCAAATAACGTGCCTTGGGCACGGGTGACATTAAAGCATCCATGATGGCATCCACAACTTCATGGCCAGCGGTGCAGCCTTCATTAAGTATTTTGTTGACAAAGTCTGCCCGTTCTTGCACATACTCTTTACTGTAGACGGCCTTCTCCTCCTCGTTAAGTTCACTCCAGATCTGTTCCGCATTGATTGGCGGTTGAATATTAGTTGAGCGTGCATAATTTCCTGGCTGAATAATACACACCTAAAAGGAAAATAGAATTAGGAAATAACTGTTGGAATACAATCAGCTGCTCTTAATTCAGAAAATTGATATGAGCAGGAGAACTGGCTGATTTTTTTTTTTTTAGCAGAACAGTTCTGTTGGAAAATGTGGTTTCTGTACAATCAAATGTTTTGTGGGACTGTGTTGATTAGAATCAAAACGGAGTTTTTCATTATGATTTTATTTCAATGTTCTTGTTTCACTTCACTTCGATTAAAGGTTTTAACTTTCTTCATTTTTAATGGATGTTTCTGTATTTTCTGCACTTTAGCAACACAAGGACCCCTCTTTTGATTGAAAAATTGTCAGTGACCTCCAATTCCCCCCATTCAGCCCATCCATGTCTTGTCTCCTTCCCCAGGGTTCTGCCCCTTCTCTAAGGCTCCGCCCGTGCTCACTCCATCCCCGCTCCCTCTGACACTCCCTCTCCTCCTCCCTCACTCATGTTACCAGGCTGGGACAGGGGATTGGGGTGCAGGAGAAGGTGTGGGTTGTGGGCACTTGGAGGGATTTTGAGTGTGGGCAATGGACTGGGATAATGGTTGGGGTGCAGGAGCCACTGAAGGATACAGGATCCCATCAGGCAGTCCTTGCCTGGGGCCGCTCCCAAAAGCAACAAGCGCATCCCTCTGGCAGTGGTTCATAGGCAGCAGGCCAGGGTTGTCACCATGTGCTGCCCTTGCCTGCAGGCACCACCCAACTGCTCCCATTGGCCACAGTTCCCTGCCAATAGGAGCTGTGGAGTAGGAGATTGGGGTGGGGGCAGTGCACAGAGACACCTCCCCCCCAGTGGCCAGAAGAGGATGTGCTAGTTGCTTCCAGGAGCAGTGTGGAGTCAGGGCAGGTAGGAAGCCTGTCATAGATCCACTGCATTGTCAGACATTTAGCATACAGGAGGAACTGTGAGGGGGTGTGGAGTTGTGCAAGGGAGGGGGAAGAGATGATCCACAGGGCCCATGGGCCCACGTGGACCCTCAGGGACCCTCAGTGGTCCATGGACCCGAGTTAAAGAAACACTGATCTAAATGAAACATTTTGATAAGGTCACTTTGATGTTTCCAGAATGAAATATCCTCGAGTTTCTGTCACATAGTACATTGAGAAGTTTCAACTTTTTGTCTCCTTGCAAGATGGAAAAAAAGTCTGAAATGTCCGAGTTTCTCATGAGATGGAAATTCTGTTTCCCTATCAGTTGTAAGGAACAGATAATGGCCTTTGATTTCCAAGTATATAGGGATAATGACCCTGTTTCTGATCACTCTGGCGTCTGTAGCAAAACTCGCCCGGATTGCTGTGTTGATCAGCTTACATCCAAAGCTGCCAAATTCTTTGCTGCTGGGTCTCCCATGTCCTTGACTGCATTGGAGCTGCTGTTCTGTTAGTTTCCCAGAGATCTCAGGGGAATGTTAGGGCCTGTTTGGCATTACAACAGGTGCATCTTACCTGGAATAGCTGAGTGCTGCTAAGTGGTTAACAGCATATTTGTTACAACTGCCTAAGTCATGTAACAGTGACACTATATCTACACTGCAATTAAATACTTGAGGTTGGTCCCTGCAGGTGACTTGGGCTAAGGGGCTATGTAATTGCAATGTGGATATTCTGACTTGGGGCAGAGGCTCTGGAACCCTGAGGAAGAGGGAGGTAGCTTAAACAGCCCCTCGGTCCTAGCCCTGGGAGCCCAAGTCAGCTAGCACAGGCCACGTAGCAGATTTTAATTACAGTGGAGCCTGCAGTGGCAGCACAGAATTCCAGTGCCAGACACGGTGCACTGGACCTCACACGCATGATGGGTCTGAGGTGATGCTGGCAAATTGGCATCCCCCAGACAAAACCACGTCTGGATTTATCTCTGCCCTGGACAGGAAACAAACCTTAAAGAAGTAGGATTGTTGTGGAAACCGGATGAATGGGGCTGCCTAGCTAAGGGGAGCACAAACCTGCCTAGCTAGGGGGAGCACAAAGGGATAAGGTACCTCCCTCATCCTCAGGGTATCTTATCCCTTTCATAGGCACGACACACTGTGCTGCAACGTGGGCAGTCCGGTTGGCTGGTCGGTGTACAGAGGCAGGGAGTCGTGATTCCCCCTCTCCCGGCCCCCTTTTGGGAGAGTGGCTGCAGGAAAGAGGAAGCGACTATACAGGAATGCACTTTGCCAGCCTTTCGGTGGGCTGGACAGTAGTGAAGAAGGACAAGGGGAACTAGCTAAAAGCCAGCCACACGTTAGCCCATAGTGAGCGACTATAAAACTAATCCCCACAAATATTGCCACCATAGCTCTTCGTGAAGGTAATTATTCGAGACATATTACTGAACATTAAAGGCCAAGCAAACAAGAACAGCGAACCTCTTAAACTAAGCACTTCCATGCTCTCAAGATTATCCTTAGCTAAGCAGTTCAAATCCTCACCATGCCATAGATAGTTCAGAGTGTTTAAGGCAAGGGATTTTACAGCATTTTTTTAATGTTTTCCAAAAAGGGGGCTGTCAATGAAACACAGTGGCAGCTTTTGCACAACCAATCTGCTAGAATCATTTCCTCAGGGGAACACTTAGGGCACGTCTACACTAGCAAATTGTTTTGAAATGACTTATTTCGAAATAATAACTCCAGAAAAAACAATTTCAAAATAAGCTTATTTCCTTAGGCTATGTCTACACTTCAGCACTATTTTGGGATACCAGAGGTATCTCGAAATAGCTATTCTGCATCTTTTGAGCGCACCCATTATTTCGAAATATGACGGGCTTGCTATTCTGACATCCCTGGAAGCCTCATTCCACGAGGAGTAAGGGACATTTCGAAATAGTGATTTATTTCAAAATAAGTGCTGCGTAGACAAATTTTGAAATAAGCTATTTTGAAATAACATAAAAATAAGATACTATTTTGCATAGCTCAAATTGCGTATCTTATTTCGAGCTACCGTGCAAGGAAAGCAGGAGTTATTATTTTGAAATAACGGGGCGGTGTGTAGTGAAGACGCTTTGCTTGTTATTTAGAAATAAAGGGAGTTATTTCAAAATAACTCCCTAGTATAGACCAGGGCTCAGTGAGCACAAAATGAGGATTTAAATGGAGGAATGATTGGGGGGGGAGAGCTACAGAGCTGTTCAAGAATCTAAGTTTTTGGGTTTGGTCATTAATGTTTCCTCCATCACCATCAACTTGGCTCAAGGAAGTCCACTGGGGAGAGATGGCTTCAGCACTTGGGTTTTCTACCAAAGGAATAAACCTTTAACTTCTCCTGGAAACCACATGGCAGTTCTGTGAGGGCATGTCTGCACTAGGAAATTATATCAAAATAACTTATTTTAAAATAATAACTCCTGAAATATCTATTTCAAAATAAGTTTATTCCCCCGGGGTATAGCTATACTGCACAGCTATTTTGGGATACCAGAGGTATCCCGAAATAGCTATCCCATGTCTACACAAGCTGCCAATTATTTCAAAATATTTTTCGAAATAACAGGCATTCTATTTCACCATCCTGGTAAAGCTCCTTGCAAGAGGGATAAGGGATGGCTCGAAATCATGTGTTAGTTCAAAATTTGGTGCTGTGTAGACGTGCCACATTTCAAAATAAGCTATTTTGAAATTCAGTCGAAATAAGGTACACAATTTGCATAGAGCAAATTGCATCTCTTATTTGAGTTTAAGGTGCTGTGTAGATGCACCTCCTGAAAGCAGGAGTTATTATTTCGAAATAACCAGCCCCTTATCATATATATAGGAGCCCAATGTCTGTGACTCTGTAACGCTGTAGCGTTACGAGTCACCCCTGGGGGGCGCTGTGGCACTCGGCTGAGTTCTGTGCCGCTCAGCCGGGCCAGAGTTCTGTGCCGCTCAGCCGGGCCGCCGTGGGGGAGAAAGCAGCGCAAGCGGCCGTTTAGGCTCTGCGCTCCCCGTGCTGCATGAGGAGCATGGAGCCCAAACAGCTGCTTGTGCTGCTTGCCCCCGAGTGAGAGGCAGGAGGGGGAGGAGAAGAGAAAGGGAGAGTGAGAGGCAGGAGGGGGAGGAGAAGAGAAAGGGAGAGTGAGAGGCAGGAGGGGGAGGAGAAGAGAAAGGGAGAGTGAGAGGCAGGAGGGGGAGGAGAAGAGAAAGGGAGAGTGAGAGGCAGGAGGGGGAGGAGAAGAGAAAGGGAGAGTGAGAGGCAGGAGGGGGAGGAGAAGAGAAAGGGAGAGTGAGAGGCAGGAGGGGGAGGAGAAGAGAAAGGGAGAGTGAGAGGCAGGAGGGGGAGGAGAAGAGAAAGGGAGAGTGAGAGGCAGGAGGGGGAGGAGAAGAGAAAGGGAGAGTGAGAGGCAGGAGGGGGAGGAGAAGAGAAAGGGAGAGTGAGAGGCAGGAGGGGGAGGAGAAGAGAAAGGGAGAGTGAGAGGCAGGAGGGGGAGGAGAAGAGAAAGGGAGAGTGAGAGGCAGGAGGGGGAGGAGAAGAGAAAGGGAGAGTGAGAGGCAGGAGGGGGAGGAGAAGAGAAAGGGAGCTAGTTTCGAAATAACAGCCTTGGTTGTGTGGTCGCTCTGCTTGTTATTTCGAAATAAGGGGATTTATTTCAGAATAACTCCCTAGTGCAGACCAGGGCTGAGTGAGAGAACCCTGGTCAGTACACTCCCTAGGCACCCTGGTCATGCTTCCTTCTTATCCCACACCACTCAAGTCCTCATCCCTTCTTACCCCACAGTAGAGGACCACCGAAGGAAAATTGTAGTTACACTGTGTCATTGTTTAGACAGGCATTGTATGAATCCAGAGTGCCTCTTCGTTTTGACAGGCATTGTATGAATCCAGAGTGACAGTCAGTTCCTGCCCCCAAGGCAGACAAAGGATGGGAGGGGAAACACAGGGGAAGTGACTTCCTGAAATCCTGCAGCACCAAGAATAGAACCTAGCGACCCACCTCCCACGGCAGTACCCTATCCACCCCACAACGTTGCCCGCTGGCGACGATGGGCCTAGAAACCACTATAAATCCTAGATGAATCTGCATCGTAGACATCCTGGGACCAGAGGCAGCAATCCCCGAGTTGACTCGACTCCAGTGCTTTCATCTTTCCAGTGCTGACGTACTCAGTTACATGCAGTTTACTAGGAAGGGCTTTTAAATATGACTTTTCACAAGCGTAAGAGTCTGCTTGGCCAAATTTTCCCTTTCCTTCTCCAATATGCACTATCTTCTAGGGCAGCAGTGTTCAACCTTTTTTTCTCATGACCCAATTGAAGAAAATTGCTGACACTCATGACCCAACATAATTTGACTGGAGTGTGGGCTCCAGGATGGGGCTGAGGATGAGAGATTTGGGGTGTAGGAGGGGGCTCTGGATTTGGGGGGGTCAGGGCTGGGGAAAAAGGGGCTTACCTCGAGCAGCACCCAGTCAGCAGGGGTGCTGAGGCAGAAGCAGCCAGCTGTACATTCCCTGCCAATAAGAGTGCAGAACTAGCGCTTGGGGTAGGGGTGGTGCACACTGCCCTATGAACTCTCTTCTCCACTGCATCTGGGAGCTGGACTTGTTGCTGGCCACTTCTAGGGTATAGCACAGTCTGTGGTGCCAGGACAGGCAAGTAGCTGCCTTAGCACCCCCACTGGTCACCTGATCCCCCAGAAGCAGCAAGATCCAGTCCCTGACATTCCCGTAGTTTGAAAACACTGCTCTGTGGAAGCCGGTTGCCCCACTTCATCCCAGAAATAACGGCAGGTCAATGATGTAGGTACAGTTTCAGGAGGAAAGGTGCTATATAAATATCAAATTCACCTTCCTGCAAAATTAATGGTTATTCCCGAAATATATAAACAGCTTGTCTGGGTGGGAAAAGCTGAAGAAGTATCTTACCAGCACTCCAAACTTCTTCATTTCCAGTCTTAAGGAATCACAAAACTTTTCTATGGCTGCCTTGGTCATAGAATAAATGCCATTCCCCAAAGTGCAGTACGCATTAATACTAGACATAAAGACCATACGTCCTGGAGAGGGAAAAAAACCAATATTGTTTAAATGTTCAAATCACGTAAATTAATATTTAAATCCCTTGTTTCCCCATAATTTTCCCCTCATAACTGCCTTACTGTGCAGTGAGGCTAAGATGTGCATTCCTGACATAACCTCGTGATAGTATATTCAGCTCTGAAGATCAAAAAACCAACCTTCTTATAAAAGTCTTATTTCTTGGCTATTTGCAGCTGCTGGACCAGACTAAGTATAATATATCACAACTTGCATCCCACCATTTCTGAGCCATTAACTTCCAATATAAAGCATGAGGACATAAATGCAAAAAGCCAGGCTTTAGTTTAACCAGCAACTGGAGAATTCCCTGACCACAAAATTCCTACATTTATGATGCCCACTGCTGAAATATATCCCGGTCCTTTATGGAAATTGTGGAAGACCAGTAACTGTCTAACCACTCCACAGAGAGGAGGAAAGAGATTGCAGCAAAGCAACCTCTAAAATCTGTGAGTTCAAATAAGAAGTAAAAATGAAGGGATTGTGCATCTAAAAGGAGGTCTGTAGTAGGGGAAAGAGACAGTGTCTAAGTATCCACCGTGATGGTCTGATTCCACTGTAACACCAGCTTTATACCAGTGCAACTCCACTAAGTTCAAAAGTTAACCCTGGAAAGGTAAAAAGTCACAAAGGGGAAGCTGTGTTAGTCTGTAACTTTAAAAACAACGAGCAGTCCTGTGGCACCTTAGGCCACGTCCACACTAGGAAATTATTTCAAAATTACTAAATTTGACTTAATAACTCCTGATTCAAATGACCTCTGACTTAGAGCCCCAGGAAGCACTGGGAAGAAATTAGTTCGAATTACTCTGGGGTGTAATTATTCCAAAATAGCAGTACCGGAGTGTCCACACTACTGTTATTTCAAAATAACTATTTCGGAATTAGCGTTACTCCTGAGGAAAAGCAGGATTACAGATTTCGAATTCCACAGCCTATTATTTCAAAATAACAGGCTTGGTAAAGTGGACAATCCGCTTATAAATTCGATCAAAGGGGGATTATTTCGAAATAAAGCCCTAGTGTAGACCAGGACTTAGAAACTAATAAATATATGTATTCTGGATCTGTCATTTCCACTCCAACTCATCTGATGAAGTGAGTTTTACCCACGAAAGCTCATGATACAATATAACAGCAAAAGCAGTTACCTGTTAATTGTAGGATCAGTGTTAATGAAGCTAATTAAGTCAGGCTGAATGTGTCCTATTCATAGCTTTTGATGTGTAAATGCAAATATTAAAGGTGGGGGAAATTGCCTTTGTAGTGCATTAACCAATTAATATTCAAGCCCAAATTGATAGTATCAAACTTGTAAATGAATGACAGCTTGATGTCCACAAATGTCTGTCTTCCTAAACTATTTGATAGTGATTTCCATGGCTTGTCCCATGATTATCCTCATTTTATGATTTTTGCCGCATGTACCAGTCTACTAATGCTCAAAGGTGTCCAGAACAAGGACCTGCACCCTGCAATTTACTCCTGCAGCTGCAACGAATAATTATGCCATAGCACCAGAAACATTTACCAGGCTGATGCCACCACAGCCACTGAGAGGAAGGACGGTCTTGTGGTTAAGAGCTCAAGAGATCTGGATTCCACTCTGTGTCAGAGCTTGCCCTGTGAAATGGGAACCAAGGTGCCGCCTTTTGTCTGCCGTGCCTATTTCGAATGTGAACTGTTGGGCTTAGGGACTGCATCTTAGTATATGTGTGTGTACTGCACCCAAAGCAACGGGGCACTGCTCTGGGTTCTGGCACCTAGGTGCTATTGTTATAACTTCTGTGCCAGGACGACACAATGGCCCAGAAATCTCAGGGTAATATGGCCACTCTGAAATCAGTGGAGAGGGTTCACTCTGCACGTCTCTTGCACTGCACCTATCTACATTGGCCAGAATGAGAGGGTGCTGAGATCAGACAAAATAGGAGCTGTTACATTCCTGTCAGTGTTTCAGGAATAACGTCAATGGGTTGCCATTGAATGCCTACAAGGAAACAGATGCATAAATGTCAATGCAAGATCTGGGTGAGAGTGTTGGCAGCAGCAGCATATCACAGAAGGAGGGGGATTCCACCCCACATGTAGCAGCAAAGCATTTTTGTGTGCTGCATGCTTGTGATACTAACCTAACCTAGCCATCAGTTTTCAAGCGTGTCAAGGTTTCATTACATTTTTTCCCCATACATTGAAAAAATCATAAGCAATGGTACTAAGATACCGACGAGCTGCATATTTCTGGCTAAGGGATAAATGGTGGGATAAAAGCATCTGTTTATGGATCACAGGGCACTTTCTCTGTTACTGTAGCACCTCCAGATCCCCAGCAAGAACTCCCGACCTCAGAGGTCCTGTGTACACATGTAGCAGGAGACAATTCTTGCCTCAAAGAGCTTAAGGCAAGTTAGACAAAGAGTGGGAGAAAGGAATATTATTATCTCTCTCTGCTCAATGGGAACCACAGGGTCACAGAAAGATTAAGTGACCAGCCCTAAGAACTCAAAGAACCTGTGGCAGAACCAAAATTGAATTCAGATCTCCTGAGTCCTTTTCTACAAGATCCCCCTTCTTCCCAGAAGCCACGAACAATAAAACAGTACAATTGAAATACCAGAACAAGTCCTAGCCCATGCTGAGTGTATCCCCGGGCCAACACACAGAGAGTTCTCTTGCACTTGAAAGAAGGCTGCTAACAACTAGCTTGAAGCTAGATATTGATGTCATTAATGTCCCATAAATTAAAACGAAGCACTTTTTTCTAGCCCTCTTTTCAAGATTAAGTTGCCCTCTCAGGTAATGTTTCAGGAAATTGGATCACGTACTGGTTTTGCTTCAGCTGATCGAGAGGGACAATTAAAACTTCACTTATAGCTGCTCTATTACCTTATTAAGAGTAAACTAAGTATTCTGCCATCGTAAATGATGTTAGATTAGGATTACCCTTATATTTCCTTAGAAGGGGAAGAAATGCCAACGTTGTCCGTATACTCCCAAGGAGGTTCACATCCACAAATTTTTCATACTTCTCCATAGACAGCCATCCAGTCTCGCCGAATGTCGATATTCCAGCATTGTTCACCAATCCCCAGAAACCTGAAGGAGAGGGAAATGTTGTCTCCTGTCTATAGAATATTTAACCACCAAACAAACTGGACACAATACCATCAGAGCCTTCCTCCATGTTCATGGGATGGCTGCAGTCATGGACTGTGCCTATGAAGACTGAGCTTCCCAGACAGAAATTGGGCGAGGCATCGTGAAGGCCAAGTTGTTCTGCCCACCTGGTCAGAACTGATATAGAATAAAGCAGAGTTCTTGCAAGCAGCTTGTATACCAAGTGATCACAGAACACCACAATGGGAACAATCTGGTATATGTTATTGGCTGCATTATGTTAGATTTATACTTATAGGCATGTGCAACCTTTGCTTAATGAAGGAACATAATTGTGACCATTTTCTGGACCATATCAACCTGTTCAGCTCTGTTTAATAATCATGCCCTACATTGTCTCCTTAAGTTATTTAAGAATAAAATTATGTGAGGGGCCGCTTTCTACTGTCAGAACAGTGTGCCAAGGTATTTTAATGTCATTAATCACGCTATGTATTTATGAGCACTTTTGTGAAAACAGACACTTTTGAAAATGTTATCATTCGGGCTTTAGTCTGCTTAATACTAAGTAACTTAGCAGCAGAAATCCTATTTTAAATAGTGATTTGATATTGGTCAATTGACTCCTAAGACATTTTAAAAGAGGGGACTGAGTTAGTCATTTTTAAAAACATTTAAAACATATGCAAATGAGGCTAAGCATGAAATATTGCTGAACCTCATTTGCATAATTAATGAGCGCCCAGTTTTTGCGCAAGAGGTTTTTGCGCAAAAAACCCCTCTTGCACAAAAGGCGTTCTTCCGGGAAAAAAATGCTATGGGGGGTTTTTGCGCAAAAGCCTCTCGCACCAAAAGTGGGAGCTCATTAATTATGCAAATGAGACTTGGCAATATTCCATGCTTAGCCTTATTTGCATATTTCTTGCACAAAACGGGTGCAGGATAGACATAGCCATAGGGATGTCTGTACTGAACTCAATAGCTGAGGCCTGGTCTACACTAGAGTAAGGTTGATGTGGCATTGACCTAACTCTGTAAGCATTTACACTAAAATGTAGCTCCCGCCGATGTAACTGACCCACTACAATGACTTAAAAACTCTGTCCCAGAGCTCCCCCATGCTTCATGAAAATTGCCATATGAATGTGCATAACTCAAAGATGCCTTAGGCAAAATGCTTCATGTGACATATCATTTTTAAAGTTATAGTCTCTTGAATGTGCATATTCTATTTTTGCATAGGTAAAAATATAAGTGGGAACTTATTTTGTTAGCCCAGCTATTCTAATAAAAGCCATTATTTTCCCATGAAGATGAGGAGATCAAACAAAGGGTTCCTGCCCTAAGGGAAAATCTATTTAAGGAATGGAAAACAACCAAGCTTTTGTCTTCAGCTGGCTAGAGAAAATTGCCTCCCAAACCTAAGAGGATACACACGAAGGCACCCCAGAGAGTAGGTTAGCAGACTCAGTGGCATGACCAGCACCTCTGTGATCAAACCTATCGCAAACTCCTTCTCTGTGCAAGGCCTAGCTCTTAGGTTGATGTAGTTAGGTAGATGCAGCGTCAGTGTGGACACTGTGAAACTCCCATTGACCATAAATGCCTTTCAGACATCATCAGTTACTGCCCCAGACTGACAGGACAGGTGGTACAAACACTCCTGCTGAGGCCATGCTCAGCCAGCATGCGACATGCGAAAGCGATTTAATTACGATGGTGACTGTAAAGCAACATAATTTAGGTCGTCTTCATTTTTGTAGTTTGGCTTGTCCTAAGTCTCTTCCAGGCTTGTCAGCTTTGCTCGCTGCTTAGTGTGAGCCCTCCAGGGGATCTTGCACATGCCTAGCTGAAGGCACCGCTTTATACAAATGGTCAGCTTCACAGGCCCTGCACAGAATCTGTGAAACATGGAGTATTTGTAGGGGTTTGTGTGGGTAATGGAATATTTCCTCCTAAGCCTGACACAGGGTGCCAGACACCTGCCCAGCTATCTACCAGACAATAGCAGGGATCGCAGCCTGCTGCAGTCACATCTGCAAGGTTCCTGGCTGGTGGAGCTGAATTGTTCAGAAATTGCTCCCTCTTCCCCCCTTCCCCGCCCCCGCAACACACACACAAGTTAGACATGGGGCAATGTACTGATTCTATCAGAAATAGAAGGACTGAAGCTGCAAATAGAATTAGAGGCCAGGGTGGGGAGAAGAAGAGAGATTCTTGCTAACACCGTGGTCTTTAAAATGGATTCTGAGGACAAAGATTAACAGATAAAGTAGAGAATCTGGAGGTTCACTTTAGGAGACCTCATTTAAGATTAGTGGGGCTTCCAGCAGGGGAGTAGCTTCTTATGTGGACAAAGAAAAATTCCTAACCCTCCCAGATAAAATTATGTGTCTTTCGTACAGATACCCATAGATGTGATACCTTGGAAAACTGTATGCACATTACGACATCCTCAAATCTCTTGGCACATTGTAAAAAGCTAATAAATTCCTTGACTCCTTGAAAAAGGCTATTGAGCATTTAAGCCCACAATCTGTCAGTCTAAACAGCTCCCTACTTAGGAAGCTGTACTCAAAACCCACAAATCAGAATCCAAGATGAAAAGAGGGTGAAAAATGTGAAAAGCAAAATAAAAAAAAATGCTGTTTCTGGGTTTGTTTCTCTTTTGTCGTTTCAATTTTTTTTTTACTTTCTCCAGGTTATGCATGAGCAGTCAGACAGGAAGGGATGTTTTATATGTGAAAGGGACTATTTGACCAAGGACTTTACAGAATATCTAACCAGATGGATATCAGTTGGGTTATTGTTTCTGTGAAATATATTATAATTAAATATTCCTTGTATGTATAGAGGTGGGCTAGCAATTCAGAAAATAAAGCAGTTACTAGAAATGGTTGAACATTTTTCATTTGAAATGGTCTTTTTTGGAAAACAAATTGTCATTTTTTTTTTTTTTAAATTGTCACCATTTACCAATGGCAATATTTCATTTTTTTCACTTCTCTGTTCTTTTCCTTTCTGTCCCCCCATTCAGGGTACATCTAGACTATGTTCTTCTTTCGAAAGGAGATATGCAAATTCAGTGCTAATTTGCATATCTTCTTCCATTTGCTTTTTCGAAAGCGGGTTTTTTTTCCCGAAGAAGAAAGCAGTTTAGATGCGGTTCTTTTGGGGGGAAAAAACCTTTTTTTGAAAGAACACTTCTTCCTCAAAAAATGAGGTGTGCAGGTTTCTTTCGAAAAAGGGGTTTTCAAAAGAACCTCATCTAAACTGCTTTCTTTTTAGAAAAAAACACGTTCAAGAAAGTGATTGGAAGAAGATATGCAAATTAATCCCAAATTTGCATATCTCCTTTCGAAAGAAGAATGTAGTCTAGGAAGAAAAAAGATTGATTTTTTTTTCTGTGTGAGTATTTGTGTGGTTTGTGGTCAAAAAGTAATAGCAAAATGCTTTTAAGTACATCAGAAGCAGGAAGCCAGCTAAACAATGAGTGGGACCCATGGACATTCGAGATGTTAAAGGAGCACTCAAAGATGATAAGGTCATTGCTGAGAAACTAAATGAATTCCTTGCTTTGGTCTTCACAGCTGAGGATATTGGGGAGATTCCTGAAACTGAGCCATTCTTTTTAGGTGACAAATCTGAGGAATTGTCCCAGATTGAGGCGTCATTAGGTGAGGTTTTGGAACAAATTGGTAAACTTAACAATAACAAGTCACTAAGACCAGATGACATTCACCCAAGAGTTCTGAAAGAACTCAAATCTGAAATTGCAGAACTATTAACTGTGATTTCTAACATATCCTTTAAGTCAGCTTCTGTACCTAATGACTGGAAGATAGCTAATGTGGTGCCAATATTTAGAAAGGGCTCTAGAGGTGATCCTGTCAATTACAGACCGGTAAGTCAAACGTCAGTACCAGGCAAATTAGTTGAAACTATAGTAAAGAATAATATTGTCAGACACATAGAGGAACATAATTGATTTGGGAAAAGTCAGCATAGTTTATGTAAAGGGAAATCATGCCTTACTAATCTATTAGGGTATGTCTACACTACCCCGCTAGTTCGAACTAGGAGGGTAATGTAGGCATACCGCACTTGCAAATGAAGCCCGGGAAATTCAAATCCCGGGCTTCATTTGCATAAGCAGGGAGCCGCCATTTTTAAAACCCCGCTGGTTCGACCCCCGTGCAGCGCGGCTACACGGGGCTCGAACTAGGTAGTTCGGAATAGGAAGCCTAGTCCGAACTACCTAGTTCGAGCCCCATGTAGCCGCGCTGCACGGGGGTCGAACCAGCGGGGTTTTAAAAATGGCGGCTCCCCGCTTATGCAAATGAAGCCCGGGAAATTCAAATCCCGGGCTTCATTTGCATAAGCAGGGAGCCGCCATTTTTAAAACCCCGCTGGTTCGACCCCCGTGCAGCGCGGCTACACGGGGCTCGAACTAGGTAGTTCGGAATAGGAAGCCTAGTCCGAACTACCTAGTTCGAGCCCCATGTAGCCGCGCTGCACGGGGGTCGAACCAGCGGGGTTTTAAAAATGGCGGCTCCCCGCTTATGCAAATGAAGCCCGGGAAATTCAAATCCCGGGGTTCATTTGCAAGTGCGGTATGCCTACATTACCCTCCTAGTTCGAACTAGCGGGGTAGTGTAGACATACCCTCTGAGTTCTTTGAAGGAGTCATCAAATATGTGGACAAGGGGGAGTCAGTGGATATTGCATACTTAGATTTCCAGAAAGCCTTTGACACGATCCCTCGCCAAAGGCTCTTAAGTAAAGTACATTGTCATGGCATAAAAGGGAAGGTCCTGTCATGAACTGATAATCAGTTAAGAGACAGGAAACAAAGGGTAGGAATAAATGGTAAGTTTTCCGAATGAAGAGAGGTAACTAGTGGTGTCCCCCAATGGGCCATACTGGGACCAGTCCTATTCAAAATGAGGAGTACAGGATCTTTCGAAAAAGCCTGCCATTTTTGACAGAACCATGTCTAGACTGCGATTATACTTTCAAAATGGCGCTTTTTCGAAAGAGCGCCATTATGAAATTATGCAAATGAAGCGCAAGATATTTAAATCCCCGCTTCAATTGCAATTTCGAAGTGTCTAATTTACACCCCTCTGTCGAAAGAGGATGTAGTCTAGACACAGTCTGTTTCTCAAACCTTTTTATTAAGTACCCCTTTTTCAAAAAAAATACCTACATTTTTCAGAGACACAATTTTTTTTCTCCCATTGCAACATATTTGTTTGAACAACTCAATCATAGTGAAGTGAGAGATGAAATTTTTGGGTGCAAATAGAACAAAAATATTAAAGTGCTGTAAAACTTAAAACAAAAATTGTTTTCTTCAAATTTCAGTTGTGTTGACGTACCCCCTAGACTTCTCTCTAGTACCGCTTCTCTCTAGTAAGGGTACTCATACCACGGTTGAGAAACACTGTCGTAGCATATGGAATTGTGGAATCATAGTCTTTTTTAAGCAGGTGGAATTACAAAAAGCAATTGTATCTGCAGACACAAGCAACTGGGCCTCCAGACAGCTTGAGTTGCTGTCCATCTGGATTTGTTCACCAGATGCTACGTTTTGTCTGGCGCTCTATGCAGCACTCGAAGTGCAGTATTCATCTAGTGCAGGAGTAGGAAACCTATGGCTGGGGGTCACATCCGGCCCCCAGCTTGCCTGGATCTGGCCCCTGAGATTCAGGGCTCCCCCCTCCCAGCACTGAGGGGCTTGCACGCCAACCCTGCAGCCACCCTCTTGCCCAGACCCCACACTCCCACTCTGCACACTACCTCCCTCCCAGACCCACCAGCCCAAAACTCACTCCTATACCCTCCCTCCTGCCCAGACCCCATACTCCAAGCCTGCTTCCTGGCAGCCCTCACCCACACACTGAACTCTTTTTTTGCCCCACCCAGAGTGTAGAAAGGCACACAAAATCTACTAGCCTCAACTCTCCCTCTTCCCCCCACCCTCTGGCTCTGGTGTGCAAGGGGAATGTGGAAGTTTTTTTGCTTCTCACTTTGTGCAGCCTCTAACCCAAAAAAGGTTCCCTGCTTCTGACATTGGCTAAGAAATATACATACATACCATGTGTCTAATGGGTTGTAGAATTGTACCTATAATATTACTATATGTATTTTAAAAAATCAGGGGAGAAGGTTAAGATCTAATTTCCATGTTTCATTCATTTAGACTCTGATTCTGCAATCCTTGCTCACACTGAATAACGTGTACTCAGAGACGCCGAACTGAAACCAAATAAGGTGCATACTTTCGGCAAGAATCCCAATGTGGTGGACAGTGTGAGTAAAAGGCTGCTGAGTTGTGTCTTTCTGGTATATACTGGGAGGTGCACTGTCCGATGGACAGCATACATATCCTGAGCTCCAGGTTGCACTGCAGGGAAAGTAATTGATTATGCCCTATTAAGGAGCATCTCATACTAGCACCTGCCCCTGCCCCCCCAATCTCTCCTGCCCTCTTATGGTGAGTTGCTTTAGGGCAGTGGTTCTCAAACTTTTTGACCTGCGGCCCACCTCGCTCAATGCAAACCTTTCCGTGGACCACCAGCCAACCACCCATGCTGACAAAATGGATGCAGGAAGGGGTAGGGAATGAGACATCCAAGCAGGAGGGAGGGTGCAGGAGCAGGCTGGCGGTGGGGGTCTGGCCAGGATGGAGGGTGCAGGAGTGGGCTGCGAGTGGGGGCTGGGTAGGTGTCTAGCTGGGAGGGAAGGTGCAGAAGGGGGGTGGAGTGGGGAGTCTGGGGCGGGGGAGGGGGCGGC